GGTTTTAAAATCACAACTCCGGGTTCTTTGTTTCGTTGGTAGTGCATCCTGTCACACAGCAGCTTTCAGGCATTTTTCAGTTTTTTGTAAAAAGACAATTGTCAGAGTTACCTTCACTCAATTCAAAGTCAATGAAGAGTGAGATGAATTGCTTTCCCCCTGGTGTGGGCGTGGCCTAAATGCACTCTGTCTCTATAAACTCTTCCAAAGATACAGAATCAAAGGTAACCTGGTCTGGTTCAGGAAAAATATCATTTTTTAGTAGTTTCTTGGCTATGTCTATTCTTCACGTATAAATAAAGATGGCAACAGGAAATGATGTCTTCACTCTGGCTTTTTCTGTAAAAGTCAAGCTGCTTTAACACAAAGCCAGACAATGTCATTTCCTGTCATTATTTATGTGAGAAGAACGCTCATAGCTGAGAAAGATTTAAATTATAATTTTCCTGGACTGGACCAGATTATTTTTGATTGTGCATTGTCAGAATAGTCTGAGGATTCAGGATATACCTTCGCAATTTGGGAGAGTGTTGTCAAACGACAATATGGGGTTAAAATTGTGGACATGTACAAATTCCCCGTGCTAGCGTAACAGTAACACAAGAGGTACGCGCTAGGGCTAGTGACAGCATTCATCACCACAGTTACCTGTTAAGTAACCTGCTGAATGAGCCCTTTTTCTGGATCATGTTTATCATCCAGGTCCTCATCAGAGTCTGAAAACAAGAGTGAAACTAATGAAAACAGCAGCTCAAGAAATACTTTAAGGTTTTGATAAACATCCTCACTACACTCTTTACACATTCACAGTCAATGGCGGAAAGCAAGTACATTTATTTAAGTACTGTACTGAAGTGCAGTTTTGAAGTATTTGTACTTTGAGTTTTTTCATGCTCTGCTACTTTATACTTGGACTTCAGTACATCTCAGATGCACAAGAAAAATTCACAAGCTACCCAGCAGGAGGGCTGCATGACAGATTGTTTTATAAGCATGATTTAGATCCCTGTGCGATCTCAGTCTCACGAGACAATGGCTCTGCTGTGTTTGCATTAGCACTGAGACGCCTTACAACAAACCAAGAGCTCCCTTTTCCTTTCCCTTAACTAGATGCTACATAGAGCCCCCATTTCCTGCGTTAACCAGTAGCAGGACTGCATTACATCATGTGACGAGCTGTAGACAGGAAGAGAATACTGATTCAAAAACAAATCCAATATGTCTGACATGAAAGATATTCTGTGCCGTCCTGCAACTACTTTTCAAACATTACACTGTCTGCCTTATACACCTAGTGCCAAATAGCAGCTGAGGCAGAAATATATTAGTTCCAGTCATTAGTTAATGCAGCTTAATGAGGAAAAGGGGGCGCTTGGTTTGATACGAGGGATCTGACTGCTAATGCAAACACGGCAGAATCATTGTCATGTGAGACTGAGATCGCACAGGGATCTAAGTTGCGCTCACAAAAGGATTGATCATGCAGCCCTACCCAGCAGTATGTAAACTACTCTGCATTATTAGTATATAAGGTAGTTAACATTAGCTGAGTTTAGTGTTTATCCATTTTGTCTATAGATCTGTTTCTTCCTCTAATGTCGGACATTACTGACAGAGGCAACTTGACTGAATGCAAGATGCTGCTGCTTAACTGCTAAAGAAGATACTGTGACCAATGGAGACTAGTCAAGAGCTGCAGGTCACTGAATAGGTCTTTGCATAACAACAGTTCATTTGTCAGTCTGTCACATTATTGTTACATTTTAACTCTTTGATGACATATAATTTCAATGGTTACATTTTATTTAGTTTGTCTATTTTTTCCTCATGAAAAAGTAGGAAATCGTCATTGAGCTGGAGCCTGAACTCTTACACACAAATAAAGTAGCTGCATTATCATGACCAGAGGCAACTGAGGTAATGGAGGTGAGTCACTCCTTTAAGGGAATAAAACATGCAGAAGTGTCAGTGTGGTTCTTTAAACAAGATGGAACCTGGATCAATGGACTGAGTGATGTCTCCACGTGGGACTGAGTAAACTGACCTGCCACGGACTCCGGTGGAGAGTAGAACTGTCCGTCAGACAGGGGGCCAGGATACATGAGAGGAGCTCGCTCACTGTTGTCCACGATGGGCTGGTACCCTGAACCATGAAGGAGAGTATTAATACCGATACAAGTAGTAATACATAAATAAATTAGTATTTCCATGTTCTGATACATTTTTCACACTGCTGCATTTATCCAGCAACTACAGCTACAAGTTACTGTTATTTTACATTCAAAACATAAAATAACACACTGAAACTATAAACTATACAAAGTGCAGTGGTATGAGTAACAGTGTTAAGAGTAGTAGTAAGAGGACCCCCCCCCTGAAAATGAGATGGGACATCTCAAGGTTCGTATCCTCTGATCAATCTGAATAAATCAACAGTGTCTGCAGGACGAGCAGAGAAGCTGTGCGGCTGCGACTCACTGGTTTCCTCCTCGGCCTCCTGAGGCAGAACCTTGAAGTCGAGCAGCCACGTCTCGATCCAGGCCAACACGAAGGAGATGATGGGCAGCAGGTACCCAAAGGCCCCCTGAGACAGCAGCTGTACACATGCACACCCACCCACCCACACACACACACACACACACACACACACACACACACACACCCAGCCCTTTAGTTACAGTACACTCACTGTAGCACCTTCTCTCACTGAAGAGTACAACACTTCAATGCCAACAAAGATAAAAACCCTGATCTGCCAAATCTTTATATGAAATGAGTTTTGTGATGTTACCTGAGATTTTACTGCTGCAAAATACAAGTCTGTGGCGAGCAGCATGACCAGCTCTGCTGCACACTTACAGAAATACTGCATGTTTGATGCTGAATGTTACATGGGTTATGCATCAAAAATATACACTCATTGTTTACCAGAAAGTCGCAGACAAGGAAATGAACTCCAACCAAAGACTAATGCTATTAGACCTATCAGCTACACTGCATAAATAGCACAGTCAGTCCCACTAACATAAGGAGAATGATATTCTATTAGATGAACAATAACAGATTAAATGAAAATCATCCTATAAAAAGGTGGATAAAATCACTTCACAAACATTTCCTCTGTTCAAAAATAATCTTTAGAAGCAATTCTCTTAAATATATGGGAAGAAACAAGAATCAGAAACAACATGTCTTACCCTGGACACGATGACTTTAACGATGAGGAATACACAGCTGACTAAAGTGGTGATCTGCACAAACAGAGACATCACATTTTTATCTGATCATACTCAATATGAATCTTTGTTTTGTAACACTATTGAACGAGGAGGAAAACTGATTAATTTCTCATGACAAGATGTTTTGTCAACTTTTCTAGGATTTTCACAGGGCGTCCACAGCATGTGAATGTTGCCTTCTGATGCCTTAATGACTGAAGAGAGACAGAAAACCATCTGACATGATCAACTTGTAAACAAAACAGTAATCCATCTCCCAGCCTTCACTCTGACGAAAACAGGCCTTATTACAGCAGTGGTTTAAAGCTGTATTGGTTTAAGTTTATATGGCCACAGAGCATGCATTGCATTACAGGTTCCACTGGCACGCACAAAGCTTGGCTGGTTTTACTGGTAAAGCTGCAACATTCTGAGATGCTACATAACGTGCAGTATTGTAGCTTTGCTGGGTTTATTGTGGTCCTATTGGTTAAACATTTAAATTGGTTAAATCTCAAATTATTTTAGAAATGTCATCAATTGTTTTTATTCTCTACTACCCACCAAGAGTCAGGGTCTGTCAAGGTTTCGTCTCTCCACTGTCATCAAGTGCTTGCTCAAGGGGGTTTGTTGGGTTTTTCTATATAATACTTTACTATGTAAAGGGTCCTAAGATGATCATTGTTGTGATTTGGTGCTATACAAATAAAACGGAACTTCAATGCAATTTGTTACTATATTTTTTATTTTATTTTATTAGTTTAACTCTGAAGTGATATGTCTTGGTTATGTCTTTATAAAGCACTGCTCTTGATTATAACAATATATGAACGTTAGCTTTTTAAAGTAATTAAATCAATGGCAGCTCTACACTGGACAGACAATGGGATGTAGTGCTGTTGATCCCTCTTAAGAAGTCAAAGGTCAAATCAATTCATCAGCAGGATTTAACTTATTTCCACTAAAGAAACGTTTTCACCAGACAGCGCCCTCTGCTGGTACACAAAGGCGTGCGGCATTAAAAAGCACAAACTTACCGCGATGGCCCACCAGTGACGGAGCTTACAGACGGCGTAGGCCAAGATGAGAGCAGCAAACCTGAAAACAGCCAGGAGCTGAGGGAGGACAGAGGACACTTAAGCGAAAATACTTAATTTTTCCACAAACGTTTTAACATTTCTGAAAATATGTTTTCACTTTGTCATTATGGCTTGGTTGCTAATGGATACCACACACACACAGTGAAAAAAGTCTTACAAAGATGTCGAAGAAGGAGGCATGGTAGTCATAGTGCAGGACTTCTTTTTCCAGCTGCACGGCGATGCCACCGTTCACCTGTCGCACAAAAACGTCTGATCAGAATCAATACGCTGAATAGCTTAACATTGTTGCACCGCCAGAGTGTTTTAGGAGGAGAGTGGCGACATCACTGACTCTATAAGGACCGTTTTTTACTGTAACAGTGGGTCATTTGAACTTCGACTATTTCCAAACATTAGCAGCAGCGTCATCGAGTTACACTGACTTGGACGCTGTCATCTATAATAAGAAGTTGAAATCATTAACAAGAAATATACTTATGACAAGTGTGTAACATGTTTTACAACCTTTCTGGCTGTGTCTCTCAAATATTGGGTCACTTGAATAATTAGGCACCTAGCTAACTAGCTAAATTAGCTGAGCTATCCACAACAACAGAACAGAATGAGTTTGCAAAGCTGTACAAGTGAATAAATCCCGCTGTTCCCTACAGAAAACAATGGATCTTAATCGACTGTTACATGACCTGCTGCCATTTTTGACCCCCCCCGTCGCAACTCTTCTATCTTAATGGCTCTGGATACCACTTAATACTTTGAAACCATGATGGGGAATATGACGTGAACACAGCTTCCTCAGCCACATCCGTCGCTAACGGAGCATGAGATACAGAACACAGCCATGTTATATTCCCATCAACATCAGAATCAAAATGAGATCAGTAGGCAATCTGTTCATCAAGCCACCTAATGTCCAGTTTGGCCACCACTAATCTACAATAACACAAATGTAACGATCTTTGTTGATGAAATGTATGTTAACTGTTAGCAGAGGTGGTGTTTCCTCCTGGGGAAGGGGCCACCTCAGCTACAAAATACAGCTAAGAATCTGAAAGTTCAAAACCAGATACACAGGGAACCTGGACTGAAAACAAGCTATTTTAGTATAATTTTGTTTATTTGCTTCAGTGGTATCATCAGTATGAGCGGAACGAGACAAACATCTGACCATGAACTCGGTTATAGTTGAGGGTAGTTATCTGACAAAGAGCTGCATAAAATGCAGTGACTCATGGTGAATGAGGTCAGCTGATGTAACTCGATACTGTGGCTATGTGTACATGGTTAATGTTTGGTCAACAGAACTATGCCAGTTCTCCTGTTAAACAAGGCAAATAAAATCAAACCACTATACACTGCTTCACCTTTGGCAGAAGTGTGCATAGCATCAAATTAGAAACTAAGAGGAACTAAAAACGTGTGCCAAGAGACTGAAAGGCTTCATTAACACTGTGAACACAAGGGTCCCAAAATTATTGTACTGTGTGCACAGTCTGTGCTGCCTAGAGTTTGTGAATTAAAAAAAACAAACAAACAAACAAACAAACAAAAAAAAAACTGTGGCAGGTGCCTCGTTGGCCAACCGCACATCTGCAGCTAATCACAGATGTTAGCAAAACAAAAAAATTTTTTAACAAAACTTTATATTTAAAAACTTTTAAGATGTATAAACTGTTGTACTTTGTCTTCCTCTGCCATTTCCTCCAGCAACAAGTTGACATTTGTGGCTTTGAGCAAAATCCCCCTCCCACTGGTGGATAGGGTCATTTTGGGTCCAAAGGTTTGTCAGGGTCTTTTTTAACGGGCAAACATCTGCAAAACAACAATCCCATCATCCTCAGCTGCACTTTTTGGTACTTAAAAAAACATAACCACGCTGACCTATAATGCTGAACATGATAAATATTATGCCTGCTAAACATCAGCATTTTAGTATAATTTTGTTTATTTGCTCCAGTGGTATCATCAGTATGAGCGGAACGAGACACGAGGCAGAAACTTGCTGTTGAAACTTGGCTCTGGAATTTCCCTCCCCAATAATGATCCATTGTGTTTATGCAGTCTTACTGTTATTATTCAGAGGCCACGGTTGAGTGGTTTTAGAAGTTATACTCAAGCTGTGTCCTCAGTGTTGGAGTGTCAGCTAAAACAAGTGGAGAAGTATTTATACAATTTAAAATATGAAATAGTTCCACCATCTCCAACAGAGTGAAACACCTTCTTTTTAGAGGATCACTCCATGTCGGTTTCGGGAGCTGACTCCTTATAGATGAACTCTCTCTCTCTGTTGTATCAATGATCCTATCACTGATATGAAATATATGTTGATATCACATCATCATATCATATTTTGAATCAAGTAGCCTGTGAAGAACAAGGTCAGCTGGCAATGCCAGTGAAAATGTGGCAACTGGATGAAACCGTCTCCTGCTGCGACTGCTCCAAAGCTAACTAAATCATTCCATTAGCTGACTTCTCGATAGTTGGACGGCTCATCCTGGCATCTGATCTGTTGGACTGTTTCCACAGTCTGAGCCGGCCAGAACTGATTACATGGAGTGTTGCAGTCAGAGAGGAAGGAAAAGCACAGGAATGTATGAGTACATGGGTGAGTTCAGACCCAGACAGTGCTGCAGTATCAGTTTAGTGTTACGCGTGTGAACAGATTTGCTGTTCACAGTGGATCAGTGGGAGTGGGAGCCCCTCTGTCAGAGCTACAGGCTGAGTCTGAGAATGTGTGCTGCAGTAAAAACACTTCCTCATTCAGGGCAGAGTTTTACAGCTGCATGACCGTGACTCCCTGCTTCAGCAGCACCCAGCCTGCTTCTGTTTGGCTTTGGCACACTTCAAACAAACATCTGACCATGAACTCGGTTATAGTTGAGGGTAGTTATCTGACAAAGAGCTGCATAAAATACAGCGACTCATGGTGAATGAGGTCAGCTGATGTAACTCGATACTGTGGCTATGTGTACATGGTTAATGTTTGGTCAACAGAACTATGCCAGTTCTCCTGTTAAACAAAGCAAATAAAATCAAACCACTATACACTGCTTCACCTTTGGCAGAAGTGTGCATAGCATCAAATTAGAAACTAAGAGGAACTAAAAACGTGTGCCAAGAGACTGAAAGGCTTCATTAGCACTGTGAACACAAGGGTCCCAAAATTATTGTACTGTGTGCACAGTCTGTGCTGCCTAGAGTTTGTGAATTAAAAAAAACAAACAAACAAACAAACAAACAAAAAAAAAACTGTGGCAGGTGCCTCGTTGGCCAACCGCACATCTGCAGCTAATCACAGATGTTAGCAAAACAAAAAAATTTTTTAACAAAACTTTATATTTAAAAACTTTTAAGATGTATAAACTGTTGTACTTTGTCTTCCTCTGCCATTTCCTCCAGCAACAAGTTGACATTTGTGGCTTTGAGCAAAATCCCCCTCCCACTGGTGGATAGGGTCATTTTGGGTCCAAAGGTTTGTCAGGGTCTTTTTTAACGGGCAAACATCTGCAAAACAACAATCCCATCATCCTCAGCTGCACTTTTTGGTACTTAAAAAAACATAACCATACTGACCTATAATGCTGAACACGATAAACATTATGCCTGCTAAACATCAGCGCGTTAGCATTTAGCTCAAAATACCAACACACTCACAAAGCTGTCAGCATGGCTGCAGACTACAGGTCTCACTCTTCTTGTCTGACTCCTGCAGAAGCCTTGGGCAGACAATTCAGTTTACACACAACAAAAATTTGTTCTCTTTGACATCAGCTGCAGGACAAGATCCAAGGTGGAGGGAAGAGTCACAGAACTGGGGTTCCACATCTACTAGTTCCCATGTTAAAAGGGGTTTTTCGCTTGATATCATTAGTGGCTGTTTGCAGGAAGAGAATTTTGAGATGTTCTGTCCATTCCTCCAGTATCTAAACATAATTATTTGAAATACACAGACATTTTTAACTTCATTTCTACACATATCTGGAATCAAACACCTAAACGTTACCATCTCAGTCTTTAAAAACGATGCACCTAACAGCTCTCACCTACAGACATGACTTACATTGAGTTCTATGATCCAAAGCAAGGTGATGAACAGGAGGTCAAAGGTGACGAAGAGGCAGAAGGTCCTCCTCACATCAGAGATGCACTTCTTCTCCCCGACCTCATAAGACTCCACCCTCGCAGAAAGGGGTGCGGTGTTGACAGACCCCACGGCTCTGGTGATCTGCTGTGAATCAATGCTGCTACATCGGCTGTCCATCGCTAACCACGCTCTCCAGGCAGGGCCGGCCCCGCCCACTGGTCAACACTGAGAAGGTGGACTCGGAGTCAGAGGACAAGGGTCATCGGAGCAGGAAGCCTAAACTGCATCTGTAGGCAGGATGAAACACAAACACTAAGTCTCCTCACAGAACAAGATCTGACATTTAACCAGACTGACAGGCTGGAGTTAGTCTATATAGTGTCTTAATCAATAAATTCCATGACTGTTTTGGTTTTGTGTGCCCAGGTTTTGAGATAACAGTCTCAGATGTTTCTAGAACAAATGCAACCATGAGCTGGAAGAGCTCATGCTGTCCTTGGTAATTTGGGTCTATTAGTGGCTTAAATGTTTGGTCTATGAAATGTCAGAAAACTGTGAAATGTTTGGTGTATTGTTGACAGAATAGTGGTTCAAAAGTTTATTATTGACATTCAGGAAAATCACAAGAAAAAAAAAATCACAAAATTCATCTTGGGTATGTAAAGACCTTTAAAGTAAATTTGCAAGTTTTAAAACAAGGTGTTTTTTGACAGCAGCACCTTCAGGTAAACAGTCTCCAAAATCTTCTCATCAAACTGATTCTACCATCTGTCTATTTACACACACAATATGCTTTTTAATGGAATAATGAGATGAAATGTTTGAATCTGGGGGGATTTTCATTTTGGTATGCAACATTAAAGTACCACTTAATTAGAAAAAACATTGCTTAATATTTTAACTCCTAAGAATACTGTAAATCATGGATACATGAGTCAGAAAATATTCTTGCTATTGTCTGGATGCTTTTGACCTTGACCTCCGTAACACTGGAGAACAATGTTCACTGTGTCTATGCTTTAGGAAGTGAAACTGTACATCCTCTGATACACAGCAACTAGAAAAATAAGAGTGCACACGTGACCTCAGCTTCCAGCAGATTTTCTCGTCATTAGAAACTAGTTGTGTGGTTGCACATGGCCTCGTGATTTTCATATTTTACAGTTGAGTGTGACCAGCTTCAGCCATACAGTTTTAATCCACACAGTGCAACAGTTTTATCAGCATTACATCACAAAACCACAAAACTAGAAGTGGAAGCTCAAAGCTGAAGTGTACAGTTTGCCTGGAAGTTTTGCAACTTGCACAACAGCACAAACAGGTTATTGTGATCCAGCAGCTGAGTTATGAGCTGCAGTCTGGCTGTGATTTATACTGTAAACGATCCTGAGGTTTACTGAACAGTATTCACTGCTATTCTCTGTCAAATTCGGGCCACAATTAAAGCAACACAATGACACGCTACGTTAGCAGCATGGCTAACAAGACACAACAGAAACTCACAGGCTGGAAATGTGAATGAAGTTGCTCACAGACTCATCACAGCGTGGCCTTATTGTGAATGCCTACAACACCCCCTGCAACCCCTCATCCCGTGACCAACACAGCCCCTCATGTTAAAACACAGCAGGGAGTTGTGTTTTTGCTGGACTAATGTGAACGTAACGTTGCACTCCATCATACTGGCTGGTGCTCTGGTTGTGTTATGTGCTAATATCGGGGGACAGCTTTTGCCTCGATGAGAAATGTCATCATGTTTTAATATCGTGAGATCGTAAGATCTCGTCACACCCCTACTGAACAGTGTCAGTGCGATCTCCTGGAAAAGCTAAGGTTCGGAACTGTCCTGCCCACATTCACCTAACATTGGTCGCAGGCAACATGAAACGATAGGTCCAAGTAACATAAACACAAGATCTGACGACAAGAATATAGAATAGAGATTAAAATGAAGAAAGGCTACATTTGTGTGAACTTCACAGGAACCTGAGCATGAGACAGAAAAACACTATTCACAGTTCTGGGGGCTCTCTCGTCATCTCCCTGAAGAGAACAGTCCAAAGTACCAGTGTCATGGATGAGAGCAATTTCATGTGAAAAGAAAAGCAAGAAGCAAACACACATGAACTGTAATTTCCCCTGAATCTAAAAACCTCCTCCATTTGCAGCTTCCTCTTCTTGTGTCAGAGGCTTTTATAGTTTCAACTGTTGTTTAAACTGGTTTAACCCTCAGCTTTCGTTTTAGGGCACCACTTCTGAGACCTATGTATTTCAGCATTTGTTACACCAGATGCTCTTCAAAAATACTGATGTTAAGGAAACTGTGCGATTTGATTGTTGATGTGACTGTGGCCTGAGAGAACTATTTAGGATTTAGATACATTTCGGCAGCTTGGACTAGTGTCTCCTGCTGTTTTCATATTTTTTAATGCAGCGAAAAGTTGTTGTCATTGTTGGAATCCATCAAGCTACAAACCTACTAGATACAGACGATACAAAACTGAGACAACACAGATGTTTGTAAGGGTCACTAAAGCCTGAGTTACACACTAACGTTCAGCATCTTGACATAAGAGACGAGTGCTGGGAAGGAGGAAAACTGTTTCTTGTTTTCATGTGGTTGCTAAAATGCTCCTGCCATTGTCAACATACAAACTCTGCACTAGAGTCAACACCAATCTAATTCCTTTGTGGGTGCAGTGATAATAGTTTCACTTGAGGTGTGATCTTTAAGCAGCACTCACCTAAGAGAGGCTGATGGGAACACAGGTTGGACTGGTTTAAGCGAGGGTCTATTGAAGAAAACCGGAACATCCGATAAACTTCAGACAGAGAATGAGCGGTTTCAAAAGGTTCAGGAGAGGCTGGAGCGCACGACTGGTGTCCTGATTAGGACTACAACTAACAATTATTTATTATCAATTAATCTTCTCATTATTTTTTGATTAACAATTTTGCCTATACAAAACTGTATGTACAGCCTGTATGTGAAAATAGTTAAAAGTGCCAGACAATTTCTCAGAGCTCAAGATGGTGCATTGTTGTTTTTTAAATAAACAGTCCAAAATGCAAAGCACTGTTTACAACCAGACAGGACAAAGAAAAGCAGCGAATAATCACATTTCAGAAGCTTTAACCAGCAAGTGGTGGGAAGACTTGTTAAAAAGAGAATTAACACTGGCCAAAAAAGTTGCAGATTATTTTTCTCTAATCCTTTCGGTTCTACCGCGTTCCACATTGAATTCTGGTTAATTTTGACACCTGAGTTTACACACTGACTGATAGCGAAGCTGCTCTGACTCTGGTTATCCCTGACCTGGCAGTCGCACTTTTGAGGAAGATGTTATTTAAATGTTGGATACAAATTTTGCAAACATGTCACAGCATCAAACTCAGCAAGTATCCATTATAAAAGGACTTGGATCAGGTCAAATAAATTTGATAAGGCATTCCTAATTTTCAAAAAGGATCCCTTAAATTGTGTTGTTATATAGGCCTACTTAAGACTAAAGTAAGGACTGAGTGAGACATTTGACACTAGAGGTGAGAAATAAACATGTCAGTACTCTCCAAATTATGAACCGCATTATGAGATCACATCTACAGCTGGGTGAGGAACTAAAAGACAAATTAGCAGGGCCTCGTCAAGGCCGTGTCTCCAGAGCAGCGTCAGGCCTATGTTGGAGGAGGAAACGTCCTCCTTCCAAACCAGATCCCCTCACTGTGTCCAACCCACTGTGTCATCCTCATGAAGCCACTCAGTGACCTAGAGCTGCAGTCATGAGTCAGTTCACTGGTAGAAAACTAACCGGCAGCTATTTAGAAGCAACAGTCACCGACATGTTCTGGTTCTACCTTTAATATGAGGAGCTTATGCTTTTCTTTGTCAGACATGAGAATCAGCGGAGTCTCTGTGGGTCTGTTGGTTGAACACAACAAGACGTGTGAAGACGCACCTTTGGCTCTGGAAAGTCACAGTGGGACTTTTTCCCAGTGTCTGACATTCTGGGGATAAATAGATCAATCAGATCATCAGGACAGTAATTAGCTAATTGATCAGTGACCTGCTGTTTGGATTTCCACTGAATTATTCTTGAGTTTCCTTTAAATTGGTTAATCTTGGTATTTCTGTGAAGCCATATTTTGTTACTTACCGGCCAAAATAAATATCCCAATATATATATAAGCTTGGCTGATAATATCTATGATCGGGCTCTGCTGCCTGTGTAACTCCAGTACCATTGCATCTTTCTGTTGGCCTTACATGAAGGGTGATTTCATCAGAAGGCAACAGTTCTTTCTTTGGGACTTAATAGGGCTGTTCCTGAACACTAAGTGATTTTTTTTTGTTGACACCTGTTCATGGGGTTTTTATGCTTTTGTGGGTTTTACTGAAACATTTGTGAAACCATTTCTCCTGTAATATCTGGGTGAATGCAGTCGTGCAGAAGATCTTTAAATGATGTGCTTATTTAAGACCAATCCATATTTGTAGATATTAATGTGATACCAGAGCAGTGACTATCTCTTGCTAAGCATGACTAATGACTGCCAGTTCAGTACTCACTTTAATATATTAAAATAAGAACCAATTAATTCAGGGTTCTGTTAAGGTTTTGTTAATTCTTGGATACCTCGAGGATGAGGAACTCTCCCAGCTGACAGACACATAGCTCAACACACAGAATGACACAATCATTCACCTGTAGTGGTGTTTGTGTCCATGTGATGGCCGGTCGATATTCCCTCAGCTTTTAGCTTTGGTTTGGGCTCCTCCACCACCACCTGAGAAAAATATACGTCTCTTTATGTGCTAAATGTTGAATTCACCAAATTGTCTCTGTGCCTGTCTGCAGCTTAAACTACAGCAAAAGTGCTGTAAATCCAACACGATCACACACAGTAAGGTTCGTGAAGTTAAAGCGGAGTCCCTTTCCTCTTCTGTAATTCGTTTCATATGATTTATTGTTAATACAGAAATGTTGATTAGCAGATTGACCTAAGACAACTCAAGCTAATGCCACAGAAGTGAGGAAGCTACAAATGAGAGCTGCACTAGATGAGGTTTTTCCTGCTCCACTTTTTTAATAGCAACTTGAAATCCGATTAAAAACTACAGCTTCAAACGCAAAGTGCCACACTGGTTCACAAAACCCCGACTCTGAGGCGAACAGGAGGCCGCCAACAACAACAACAACAACACTGTGGACTCCTTAGGATACACCTGAGGTGCTTAGACCAGTACAGCAGTAGCAGCTAAGGAACAGAAGACGATGAATTAAACAAAACACAATCACATAATTAAGCACAACATACAAATATTCATTTTACAGCTGTAACCCCGAACCAAGATGTCATAATAAACCAGCTGACAGAATCGTTCAGTTTATTAGGCAACTAAGCTAGCTAGCTAGCTAGCTAAAAGTCATGTATTAAAATTGGTTGTACAAAACTCTCCATCGCGACTCTCACCTTTCAAACTCGCTCCCTTAGAGGTTTTAGTTTTCTGAACCGGCCCACGGGTGGCTTCTGTCGACAGATAGAACCCTCAACGAAGCAGACGAAACATTTATTTCCCTCCGTGTGTTTGGACTGCAGCCACAATATGAACAAGCTGCCGCGAAGGATTCTGGGATATGGAGTCTGTCTCTGGATCCAGGGTATAGCGGTCCCCTGGCAGCCATGTCGCAGATCAGTAGCTTGTATGGGATTTCTTTGTCTCAACTTTAGACATTAATTTTTAAAATGTGCAGTGGCACATATGCAGGAAAATACTTACTTGTACTCAAGTGCGATAAATATAGAAACTTCATAGCCCACATGTCGTAGTATAATAACAGGTGTGTGATTTAACTAGTGACAGTCCTGCTCTTTGAAGCGCCCAAGTAAATTCAAGTAAAGTAAAAGTAAGTCTGTATGTCAGAAATACGTTTTAAAGGAGCCATCAAAAGTGAAAGAACTTGGCATCTGTACGTTATCAGATTGTTAGACTGATATTAATGCGTCAGTGCATAAGGAACATACTGTTGTTGCTAATCCAGGTGCAGCTACTTTTGACTACTCAAGGGGTTGGGCCCCTCCAAAGGGTAAGGATATATCTGGGGAATTGTGAAATTAGCTATTGATGGGGTAAGAAACAAATATGAGAAAAACAGTTCTGCTACACAAATTTGCGTTATTTTTTTCCCCATCAATCTTTAGAAAGTCACTTTCAGCTTTTCCCGTTTAGTGGTCGCCACAGTGAATCGTCATACTGACGACTCGCACGTTGACATTTGGCACGTGTTTTGCGCCGGATGCCCTTCCTGAAGCAACCCTGATTCGAACCCGCCGCTGCGCCTTAACCACTAGTCTACCAGGGACGGCTTTTTCCATCAATCTTTGCCTTTGTGAAATATTGGATAATTTGTCCTTTTTCGCCTTGAACGGTCATTTAAATGAAACCACAAGAGGCGTTGAGAAGGGAACTGTTGACAACCCAGCAGCATGATACATGAAGATCTGTTACAATCTTAAATTGAAAGTTGACTACAGTGTCCAGATCAGTCTAGAAGCACAATATTTTCCCCTGAAGCATAGTGTAGAAGTATAAAGTAACAAGAAATGGAACTTCAGAATTGCACTCAAATACAGCACTTCAGTAAATGTTGACTGATCACTGTATCAAAGATTTACATACTGAGGAGCAACCTGTGGTCTTGGGGCTGACAGGCACAGACAAAGTGGAGAAGTCAGAAAGTGTTGAGACAGACTAACACATTACCGGGTTGTGTTGTGTATGAGCTACAGCAGTTGTAGCTACAATTGCAACTTTGCAGCTCTGTGCACTGTTTTCAGCAGACTATTTGCATGATGAGGAAGGCAAGAAGGATCTGGGTTTGAGCCTGGCCCGACCCGCTGCCCTTCTATGCAAAGTCTGCATGTTCTCTCCGTGCCCGCGTGTGTTGTCTTAGGTCGATTGGCAACTCTACCAAACTGGCCATTATCCAGAAGGGCATCCGGTGTAAAACATGCCAAGTTTAATGTGCACATCGTCAGTTCGGTGGGGACTGTCAAAGGGATGCCACTTCGACCATGTTCTACACTAAACTAAACTAAGATATTGTGACGTCTTTCCAGTGGGAAATTTTAGACATTTAATAACACAGTCATTACAAAAGTGTATTTCACTGTGTGGTTCACTTTGTTAAGTCTGAGACTTTTTAAGGCCATTTTAACACACAAAATACAATGTAATACTGGTCAAAGTTAAACCAATACAGATGATAAGATCTAGACTTTTCTACAAAAGACATGAATTTAGAAATATTCCTAGTAGTTACATTAATAATTCCAAATATTAATTCATCATTAATCATGACCCAGAGCTGGAAAAAGAACAGAACATTAACTAATTAAAACATGAAGAAAATGCATATATGCATTTTACATAAGGTCAAACTTCTGGAATAAAAGAAGTGGGGGCTTTATTCAATTCAGCAAGTTTGAATTTAATATTGTTGTAAATACAATTTAAAAGTTTTTCTTCCAAAGTCTCAGGCCATGGTTCCTTGTCAGAAAACAATAAATTGCTTCCTTTCGTTTGGGAATGAGGTGACGCTCCAGGCGAAGTAGTTAGGTATAGCAGTGATGTGGTTTCTCTCCGGAGTGGGCTCTTCACGTATTGATTGTCAATTCACCACCAAGTCTGAAAGCTAAGCTAAGAATACAACCTTTAAGATGTATGAATTCTTTGGTGTTTTTTCAAGTCTGCTGATGAACAGAATCTTTTCGTACAGGTGTTACAAACATACGGCTTCTCACCTGGCTGGGTGATCATATGGGACAACAAGGAACTGTTATATATGAAACTTTTTCCACGTTTCCTATGTGGGTTTTTAAATGATAATTCAGTGCTGATGATTGCTTGAAACCTGCAGGGGAGAGGTGTCCACATTGCTACTGTGACTTGTGTCTTTGTGACTTCTCCTCTTTGGCTTTGGCTCTGGCTTTGGCTCTGCATTACTAGCTGATCCTGAGTCTCCATGCTGGCTTCCTTCCTGATCCTGGCTCCCAGCTACAGCAGAGCTGTGAGAGAGGAGCTGCTGGTCACTGGTTGGTTCTGCTTCACTGTGGTCCCTTTCCTCATAAGTAGGAGTCAACATAAAGGGATCGGTCTCCTGCTTCAGTCCAAGCTGTTCTCCCTCCTGACTGCTGCAGAGTTCCTCCTGTTCCTCTTTAATCTGTGGAGGCTCTGGGTCTTCTTGGTCCAGACTGGAGTTCCTCTCCTGATTCCAGAGCTGCTGGTCAGCCAGAACCTCCTCCTTACAGACATGTTGCTGTGGCAGCTCTGATGTTGATGAGAGAAAAAACTAAAGTAATGTTTCTTATTCACCAGGTTTTATTTGAATTCCAGTGTGCTTTATAAGTTTTTAATAAATCCTGTACAGGGCACTGTTCATTTTGTCATTTTTCAATCTGAGCCAACAGAAAGATGTAATGACTAATAAAATAAATTTAATTAACAGCAATTACCTCCTTAGACTTTCGAATAAAATAATTCAGCATGACAGTATGATGTTGCCACGATAAAGGTCCATGACGCAATATTTATCACAATAGTAAAACACTGGGGAAAATAAAAATAAATAAATACAACTTTGCACTCAACTAAATAATAAATCAGCATTTGTACGAGTTCCCTTTTAACTTAAAGCTTTCCTGGTTTTCTTCATTATAAATAAATATGCCTTGTGCCGTCTGAAAACGGCCTTCAGCTTAAACTATAACACCTAGTATGTGCCCCTGATCATCTCGTGGTTGCACTTATTACTCATTTTTAATATTTTATTAATGTTAATGAATTAATTATTGTTTTATTACAATGAAAGAGCTCTTGTATCGCAATCGACAGCTGTGTATCGGAATCGAATTGGAACTGAAAAGACGTGCATCTGTCCATCACTAATTCTGACCAGTCTGGAGCCGCACGCACAGCTGATGTGTTCACTGGTGGTGGTTGACAAGAAATCTAACATTCACTACGTTTTGGACACAGTTTAACACTGGAGAGCATCTATTTTATTATAGCTTTAGAAGACATTTGATGACTGGTCATGACAATTTGCATATTTTGTGCAGGACTTGTCCCCCATTAACTTACGCTATAACAATCACCCTGTGGCAGCTACAGTTGTCACCATAAGAAAAGTCTCGAAACAAGCCACAACTTAACCGCGTACGATATTAAATAGCGCTACACCACTGATTAACATATATAAATTAAACAAGATCTCGTTATAAAATCAAAAGTCAAACATGCTATTGACTTAATGTGTTCCTTCTTGCCTGTTTTACACAGAAGCTTTAGAATAAGAAGCCAAACGAAAATCTGAGCCAACGTGTAATTCATGCTGAGTCATAATCCTTTGTTAGTTATATGAAGATTATTCAGGTGTAACAGACCTATTCTGTGTAGCTTTACTTCTGGTTTCCAAACGATATCCAGCAGTCTGCGCTGACGATCGATCTCCTCCTTGTACTTGACGTCAGTTTTCTCAAAAAACTCAGAATATTTCTTCAACAGCAGCAGTTAGTTACTCCGTGACGAACTCGCTCAGACACTTAACTGGAGGTGTTGTTGATTTGTTACCAATTAAACATTTACCTACAACACCGCCGCCTTTATGTAACTCCACACATCAACAGAAGTAAAGCTACCCGCGTTACTTCCGCCGGAAGTCCCAGTGGCACATTCCGAAAGTTAAGTGAGTTCCGGTATTCAAAACTCCTTTTTTGTAGCAGCAGCTGGAGGTGAAGCGTTTTTTGTTTTGTGTTTTGATTTTACCAACTACACACTAGTGATGTCCAAATGAAGCAATGAACTATCGAATCACGTATGGAACATCGGTTCATTCATTCATTCAAAGATTCAGTGACATCTAGTGGCGAAATAGGAGACAGCTAAACAATGTCTGAATTAGGTAAATGCTCCATAATGGTGATCAAACAAAGGCAATGATAATAACGACAACAACTACGCACAAACCTACTACAACGACAAACCTACATGTTGTGCATCATTTTGGGTGGCTATATAGTGATTTTATGCGCCTACCAACCTGCTGATGTGCTCAGCAAGGTCCCACATTACGAAGCAGTATCAATTGTTTGAACCAGTCACTGGATTCACTCAGGGGACCAAAGCCATTTCTGCTTCAGACGTCATCGATCACGTCTTTTTCCGTAACAAAGCAAGCATCGAAGCAGTGGTTCGCGGAATATGCCTCTTCAAGTTTGACACTTGTATCAGAGCATTGTATCAGACGGCCATCATTACTTCACACATTGATAGTTAAATAATGCATCATACTCTAAGAATTTTTATTACATTTTTATGTGTAATTTTTTGTGTAATGATATTTAAGTATATATAGGTTTTGTTAAATAAATGGTAAAGATTTTATAATAGGCTATATCCAATTTTGAAAAGCTGATTTCAACCAGTGTCGTTCTTACAAAAACACTAAATGTACCGACTTACATTCTACTTTTATAAATATGCTTCTTCATGATGAGACACTTCTACTGATCAAACTGTACCATATCATGCAGCAGGTGAGCTGCAACATTAACTCACCTCTTGCATGTTACAGCTGAACTCTGAAGTGAACTCTTCTTCACTATGATGGCTTTCACTGGTGATGTCAGTCATGTCTACCTGCAGCCTTGATAAACAGAGGCTGTTTGTAGCTTCAGACTTCAGTGCTAATCTGGTATTTTTATATGTTCATTTTTTAAAAACAAATATTCAAACTCCAAGATCTTACATTCAAATAATACTAAACAGTTCTCCCATATACACTGTGGTGGCAATGTAATCTCTGGCTGACTGTTCAGAGGTAACGTTTTGAATGAATGAGTGAATGAAGCACCACATTTATCAACAGCAGCACAGTTTAACAACTGAACCTGGCTTCTTACCAGATTATTAGTTTTCCAGTCCGTGTAAAAAGGAAAACCCTCGAATATGTATGTCCGTGCAGATTCTCAGTCATCCAGGTCATAGTATGCTGAAAAACTAAATTCACTTAAAAGCAACTTTCATTTTATACTTGTGAGTGATAGGCTATTTAATCCACAATCCTGAATTTTAATAATATTTTAGTGTTGCATTGGTTTATTTTTCTTCTGAACATGGTGCAGTAACATCAGGGTAAACTGACCTAAGATCTTGTTTCTAATCATTTGTGCCACAGCAAAGGGACTGACACTTTTGTACATGAGAGACTTCAATTCAGATTTTCATCTTTAATAAATCTGCAAGCAAACAAACATGTCTTTCCATTATCATGATGGGTTACTAAGTGTGAAGTGAGGGGCAAGATTAGCAACTGCACTCTGTTCAATCTACAATACATACGTAAAGCTGACATTATGGGTTATTGAGAGTGGTCCTATAGGTAAAAATGGCAATTTTATCCCTGTAATAAATAGATCACAATAATGGGTGGAGTATAAAAAAATTTTCATATTAAAATTATTTCTGGTTTTATTTACTGCTTGACAAGACAAGGCTCACCAATCCCGTCTCAAAAAGGCGGTGTGTAAGGGGCTACTGATAATTCATGGAATTATTGACTTAAACTTTATTTAAAAAATTAGGAAATCTAACTAAAAGTGTCTGTGCAGTTTCTCAGTCATCCAGGTCATAGTAAGCTGAAAAATCAACTGGACTAGGTTATCCAAGAGGCTTCATCAGTTCTGCTTGACTGGCGTTGAGTTGGAGATATTTATCCCCATCGGTGGTGTTTCAGTCCTTTGATGGCCAACAATGTCCCCTAACGACTGAGTCGTTATAACCCAGTATCAGTGGCCCTCGTTACCTTGCGTCCAACTAAAAGTGTAACTTTTATACAAGATAAATTTCTCTCTCACCATAACCCGACATAAACAATATAGTGAATAAGCAAATCATGTCCACTAATCATTAGTAGCAAACACCTAACTGAATCGTGGCGTACACATACATGCAAGTGAACATCTCTTATTCATACAGAAACGATTCTCAGACTATCTGACAAATGGATAATAATGTGTCTACGTAAAGTCAAGGAGTTGGTAGTGAATAAAGTTTTCATTTTACTGAACTTATCAAGGAATAAAGAAAAACCCTTATTTGAAACGTGTCATATTTTAAGTTTAGGCATGGCTTGTTATGGAATTACTAATGTACATTTCAGCTAACTGGTAGCTAGTGGACGTAGAAAGAGTTTCTCAGTAGTTATAATCTGAACTACTACGGTGGTAACTTGGGAAATTTATTATGTCAGTTTAAATCAAACAGTCAAATAACACACAGTATAACTCCAAAACATTTGGGAACTGAAAACTTTACAGATCATTTGGGTAACACATGTTTTGTGTGAGAGACCTAACATGCTTTAACCAGATGAGGGCGGTGTTGGTCCATAGTAAACCTTTGCTGGTGTTGCTCATACTCATAAACATGTGTGGATCAGCACTTTCCAAACATAGAATCCTGACTGAAAACGGGTCCTGGACTCCACTGTACAAATGAATTCTTATGTCTTTTCACATCTGATTTCATAGAGAAGCTTATACCACAGCTGCTGCAGTACTATGGCTTCTCACCTGTGTGGGTTCCTAAATGAACTTTTAGTTGTGAGGACCGCCAGAAACCCTTCCCACATGTGTTGCAAACATACGGCTTCTCACCTGTATGGCTTCTCATATGGGCTGACAGGTAACTGTTATATGTGAAACTTTTTCCACATGTTTCACAAGAATAAGGCTTCTCACCTGTGTGGATTCTCATATGGGCCACCAAGTTACTACGCTGTGTGAAACTTTTTCCACATGCTTCACAACAAAACTGCTTCTCACCTGTGTGTGTTCTTAAATGATATTTCAGTGCTGTTGACTGCTTAAATCCTCTCCCACAGATTTTGCAAACAAACGGGTTCTCACCCGTGTGGTTTCTCATATGGACCCCAAGGGCGATACGATGTGTGAAGCTTTTCCCACATGTTTTACAAGAAAAAGGCTTCTCACCTGTGTGGATCCTCATATGGGCAGACAAGGAAGTGCTATATATGAAACTTTTTCCACATGTTTGACAAGAATGTGGCTTCTCACCTGTGTGAGTTTTTAAATGACAGTTCAGTGCTGGTGACTGCTTAAATCCTTTGCCACAGATTTTGCAAACATATGGGTTCTCACCTGTGTGGGTTCTCATATGGACCACAAGGGAATTACTTTGTGAGAAGCTTTTTCCACATGTTTTACAAGAATAAGGCTTCTCACCTGTGTGGGTTCTCATATGGACCACTAAGTTATTAGGTTGGTGGAAGCGTTTTCCACATATTTTACAAGAATGCGGCTTCTCACCTGTGTGGGTTCTTAAATGATAATACAGTGATGATGACTGCTTAAATATTTTTCCACAGGTGTGGCAAACATAAGGCTTCTCGCCAGAGTGGATTCTCATATGGCCAACAAAGGCATGGCGTTGTGTGAAGCTTTTCCCACATGTTTTACAAGAATAGGACTTCTCAACCATGTGGATTCTCAGATGGGCTGACAAGTGTCTGTGATATCTGAAACTTTGTCCACAGGTCTCACAACAATACGGCTTCTGATCTGTGTGGGTTCCTAAATGATAAATCAGTACTGATGGCCGATTAAATCTTTCCCCACAGGTGCTGCAAACATATGGCTTCTCACCTGTGTGGGTTCTCATATGGTTCATTAAATTTGCACGTTGTGTGAAGCTTTTTCCACAGGTTTGACAACAATACGGCCTCTCACCTGTGTGGATTCTGAAATGTCTATCCAAATCAGACTTCCACTTAAAAGCTTTACCA